TGAGGCATTAGATTGATTAGTTTTCATGAGACAATTGTGCAATTGCTTGTGATATCAAGTTGAGAGAAATAAATAAAGAAAAAAGAAGAAGATACACTTATAACCATATACTTTTTGTGATGGTATGCACATTTGATTGAACCAAAAAGATCAATTAAGGTGCAATATGTCGAAGCTCATCATCGGAAAATACTACCTCTTGGTACACCAAACAAAACTTCTCTAACATTCTTTTAAACCACTTTATTTGTTTGTTTGTTTTTCATTTTCTTATATTCTTTAATTATATTTAATTATACTATACTATTGTAATGGCATCATATGCTCTAATTTTATTATTGAAAATTTTAGTTGTAGATATTTTTATGCTTTTTTACATACAATTACGTAAATATTTTTATTTTTTGAATTCATAGATTTTTCTTAATTTGGACGAAGTTTTGGTTATAAAATATACAATTTTTTTGTTTTTTTTTTTTGTTTTTTTTGTGCAATCAAGAAAAATATTTTCCTTATAAGTTATTATTGTGAATTGTTAATTTTACTTATTAACAATTTAAATATATGCATGTAATGTATACGTACACTTAATAAATGTCTTTGTTATATCAAATTTCTATTTTCCAACACTTATGAAAAATTTGTGTCGATCATAGAAAAACCTATAATGTGTCGACATGCATGCATGATTCATGGTTGGTCAACACGGTCCCAATATTTATTTTTGACGTGGGTATGAATACAATATCTTTCTCTTCATGTTTGATATCCCCTGTATTTCGTCTGCATTCAATTCATACTCTCCTTATATGCTTTGCAATTTGCCTATCAATGTTTGCACAATTTAAGTAGTGGACTGAGACCATTTTTATTTTTCCTTTCTTTACAATTATGAAGGGACCATTACCTCGTTGGAAGGCTAAGAGATATTAATAAGGGAGCCTTACCTGTCCAAATTGATGAACTTGTTTGGCATTTTCTTGACTCATCATATATATATATATATATATATATATATATATATATATATATATATATATATATATATATATATATATATATATATATATATATAAAGAGAGAGACAGAGAGCAGTAAATATAAATTTAAAAACCATTTTTTGAGGTTATCTATTGTGTCCAAATTGATGAACTTGTCATGTTTTTTTTTCCTGCTAGGATACTTCTTTATGTTAACGTTATCATTTACGTTTTTATATTTAGTAGCGATGAGCACTATTTAGTTAAAATAAAAATTCGAACCGAATCAAATTAGCAATTTTGATTCAGTTTTGTACAAAAAATTTGAAAAAAAAACCCAAACCAAAAACCAAAATTATTTCGCTTTAGTTCGGTTCTTTTTTAAATTTGGTTTTCATCGAAAACCAAATAAGTGTTTTTTTTTAACATACTTACTCAAGACTAATAGCATTTTTTTATGATTTTTTTTGCTAAAACTTCAATTCAAGCTATTAACATTCCTTGAAAATAAAAAAAAAAACAAATTACAAAAAAGTGACATTTCAACTTGATCAAAGAGAAAATTCAAAATTCGAAGAAAAAGTACAAAAAAAAACCCGTTTTTAATAAAAAACCAAAAACCGAATAAAAAAATTCGGTTTTGTAATAAAAAAATTGAACCTTAATTTGATTCGGTTTTAATTTTTATTTTAATCAATTCGATTAATTAAAAATCGAAATCAAATCGAAAAATTGAATGATCATTCCTAATAATTAGAGTATTTAAAAGAATTATATTTGACTATGATTATACTTGGTTTATAATGAACAGAATTGACATCATAAGATTTTGTATCAGAAAAAAAAAAAAAAGTCTACATCAAATAAGATTTAATCAAAATGAATATATATACTTTTGATGGGATCATTAATATATTAGCTTTTTTTTTTAAAAAAAAAAGAAGCTAATATGTTAATGATTCCATCAAATTATGGATTATAATTGAATCACTTATACTTCACGTCATGGCCTTCCATATAAAGAATCAAAGAATGCCTTTTTCAGGATCATTAAAGCTTGAATTGTAAGCTTGAGGATACACATACACCACTTTCGGTGATGATCTTAAATGAGAACACATGCAATGAAAGGTTGATTGGATGGACACTTAATGATCAGTTCCAATTGATCCACAAAGACAAGCCATTTTTGTCTGCATTAGTGTCATCTTAACTTTGTTCATATTTGAACGAGGAAAGAAAAGTCTTTTCTTTTGGGTGGTTAAGGAGTATTATCTATGCATTAATTGTGCAGCTTTTATTTCTCTCTCTCTCTCTCTCTCTCTCTCTAATATGGTTTGCTCATCTGGACCTTCGTGCCCTTTGAGACACTGTATCGACACAGAAGAAGCTCATGCACCGCTGTTAGACAGTGAGAGAATAATCATTCTGAGTCTCAGGGAGGGAATCAGCTATACTATGGCTAACCTGCTAGCTACCCTTGAACATGTGACATGATCATCTATCCATGTTCGTTGTAAGCTGCTTAAAAAGCTCTATATAGAATCTTCATCGCCCCCAATATATTCGTGACTTTCTAGCCATATATAATTCTTAATCCATCAGATGCTTTGTCAATCTGAGTAAAAGTCAGGGTTATTAAAGAGATTGGACACTTAATTATAAATATAACAATCTCACTCTTTAAAATATTTTTCGAAGTTAGGAGAATTTAACAGTTTTCAAAGCTGATATTAGAATTGAGATAAAATAATTTTTCATATTCACTGCTCAATATGTAAAAAAAAAGTTTACCACAATGTCTATAAACTAGATATAAATACGAAAAATAGATAAATGATGTAAAAATATCACATGATTATATTGGTTTAATCTATTATTAATGACTAGTAGACTAAATTCCCCTAACAATTTATGGGAAACAACGCAAAATATAGAGACGAAGAAAGGGGTGCTAATGGTGGCCACCAATTAAGGCTGCCTGCGAGCGGGTAGTTTCCATTATCAGCTTTATGATCCATGTGTCACTGACCGACGATCCTTCATGATGCTGCCTAATTTGGAATGCGGTTCCAGAAATATCGAAAACCAAATTCCTTGATATTTGTGCTTCTCTTTCCTTTCCTTTGCTTTTAGGTTCTCTTCTTCAAGAGACATGGGACACGTGGTTCCTAGTGGTCGACGGATGGGTTCCGTGTAATTTCCTGTGTTTTCATTTGATATGTACATTTAACTTCTTGTCCCTTCAGCACCTCGTGTAATAACGGCGGGTCAATGTGATGTGTTTTTCTTTTTGCTTTTTTTTTTTAATTATTATTATAGGGATATAATTTAGTAGTTCTATAACTTCGAAGAAACGATATTTTATTTAAATTTTAATTGGATGTTCTCATTAATATTTTTCCTTTTTGCCTTGTTATTTCTCGTATTAGTCTCCATATGCGAAAACCGCGTTTTTTTAGAAGAAAAAAATTATAGCTTTAAAATTTTTTATTTTTATTTATTTTTTTGTGTGTCTATCTCTCTCCTCAAAATAGATTTAAAAAATAACTATTATATATGTCATTAATTACTTCTTATGTATTATAAAATTTTTTATAAAAAAATAATTTGTTTTTTCTCGCAAACAATAAATCTAAAAAGGATAAAAAGTCGAAATTAGCTGGAACAAAACGCACCAACATACAAAACCATACAATCCACATCGATGGGTTTCCAAAAGTTTCAATTTTGGACAGAGTGATGTTTACCAAATTCCAAGAATCTGACTCCTCAAAATTTTCCTTTCTCGTGAAATACATGTTTATGGAGCATAGTCGGTCGTGTCACCAAAATATCCACTTCAAGGATGTCATAACAGAAAAATAGCATGCTTTTGACGTAACTGTCCATGACCAGACACGTAAGCCTAATGTTCATCCTCCAGTTCTGCCGTGTCATGCTACCTCGGACCTCCTTTCTATCCTCCCCAAATTGTGTTTTCGGGATCAGTTGAAAAATCATTACAAAAGTAGTTCGCTTCAAATTATTTATAAATAAAGGTAATAGATATTGAAATTTACCTTATACCTAAATATGTAACCAAAAAAATTATTTATCCATAAATAACCAAAGAGGTCAAATCTCTATAAACTTTAATTTATTTGAAATTAAGTTTTTTAATTTTAAATTTAATTTATGAGATAATTGAATTTTTATTTTTTATGATTTAATTCATCTTTCAATTTTTATCATATATTTTAATAAATAACAATCAAATAAGTACTTTCATGATATAAATTATTTAGTAAAATTTTTACAAAGCTTTTCAAAAAATTTAGCATCATTTTAGATTTTCTTTACTTTTCATATTTTTAATATTAATTTTTTTTTTAGTTTGAAAATTTTTGGAATTTTTCTAAAAACAATAGATTCAATTTTTCTTAAGGTACGTTCAAAATATCAAAAATTAATTTTTTTAAAAAAAATATGATAGCTAAAAATTATTAAATGAATAAAATTTTAAAAAATTAAAAGTTCAAAATTTTCAAAAATCAAATTTAAAATTCAAAAACTCAATTTTACATAAATTAAAGTTAAAGAAAATATCGATTCATTCAGCATTCATAAATTTTCATTTTGTTAATTAAATTCAACCTGCAAAAATTATCACTATCAATGATTTAAAAAAAAAAAAAAAAAAGGGGGAAAAGCCAAACACCGTACTAGAACAGGAGGAATGCCTCATTTTTATTAATCATGGTCCGTCTAAATAATAGATATATTTATATATCTATAAAATTCTATTTAAAAAAAAAAGCATATGAAAGAACATAAACAATAAAAGAAAAGTGAGACATTGCTGTCTAAAGATTCCGTTAATCTATCAATATCTCCCTCTTATCTAAACTTCTTTCATTTTCCTTTTTTAACCCTCTCAACCGTTTTCACTACCCGCCAAAAACAGTTGACCATATTTACATCTCTATCCAACACAAAATAGAAATTGCCAACACTATATTTGCTATGAGTATTACTGCTTCACAACCCATCAACCACCACTCTGATGCTACTTGGCAGCCAATCTCCATGGCTACGGCTGTCAGAATCGATATCAGGCTCGAGCCGCACGATCATAGATTCGCTGGCGTATGTAGGTAGCCGTAATTTGAGCTGGCGCAAGCTTGGAACCAATACATTGTTGGTCCATTCTTCTAAGCTTTCTCGGCTTAACCATATCCCACCAACAATTTTTTCCAATGCCTCGTCTTGGATTTCGATCAGTGTCTGATTGCTGAAGATGGTCGAAAACTTCTTGGTTATAGAATTTGAAATGTCGAGTCTAATGGAGCCCAAATCTGCAGGTTTGAAGACAATGTGATCGTCTACTGAATTGAGTAGCTCGTTAGAGATTGATGAAGTTGCAGATGTCAACAGTCTGTTATTGAGGACATGTTCATCTTCATGATCAACTGTAAGATCACTTGAATTGTGCGAGCCATCTGCTTTATCATCCCCTGCATCAGCGGCTTCATTCAGGTCAAATGCTAGTGCTGCTCCGGAGTCCTTTCTTGGCCTTGCCAACCTCTCTTCATCATGAAGCCAGTTGGCTCGGCGCTTTGCTGTTCTCTCAGAAAGGGTTAGCCTTAATTGCCAACCTCCACTTGCCAAACTCGCAAGCTTGTTTTCATCCAGCGAAATGCCTTTTGACAGGAATTTGAGATTGTCTGGTAAGCGATTAGCAGTCAGAATGAAGATAACATTACCAAGACTGATTTCACGGCCAAGGGAATCAGCAAGACGGCCTCTCTCCATGGCCCGCTTTATGCTTCCTCTAACAAGCATATCCGCTTCATCAACATCCTCAAGTATGATTACTGAGAAGGGGTTCCTTCTAACTGCCTCAGCTATTCGATCAAGAACAGTTTTACCACGGAAACTCACCTCAGATTCCCCATCCTCACGCCGTGAACCAAGACAGACCATTATTGGATTTGCCCCATAAACAAGGTCTGAAAGAGCAGATGCCATCTTCTTCTTGCCAGCCCTATCAGGACCTGTGAACAATAGCCAAATGTCACCCTTTGATCCAGTACCCCGACATTTCCCATGACCCAATTTGCATTGTGTCACCGTTGTAGCCACTGCGGATGCTGCATCTCGTTGCCACCAAACCTTTTCCAGAAGACCCTTGAGGAGCTTCTTGAATGAGTCAGCGTCCAATTTGCTGCTCTGCAATTCATGTAAATTGGATTGCGGCTCAGAAGGAACACAGCTTAAAAGGTCCTTGGTGCGGTCCTCATGTTCTTTCCCAGGAGTGGTCTCAACAACCTTTGGTCTACCGAGAACCAGGTCTGTTCTCACAGGGCTTCCAGGCGGAGTGGTTGCCTGCCCAACTGGTTGGCTGGGCAACAGATTTGGGTTGAGCACAAGGGTCCCACCCAGCTTTTTATTTAAACTTAACTTGGCCTGGAAAGGTTGGCGAGGAAGCAAGTTTTGATTATACAAGTTTGTCATTGAGAGAGATGGTTGGGCAATTCTTTCAGATCCAAGATTAGGTTGATGATAAGCAGGATGAAGATGCAAGCATGTATCGTGCCATTTCTTCTGCAACTCCTGACTCTTCTGCTTCAACATCAGTTCTCGATCCTTAGTCTGCATAATAACAATGACAATATTAGTTTTCATTGTTTAACTTCTGTTTTTAGCCTTTAAAATGAGAAAGAAGAATCTTAATCAGGCCAGTACAAGTTTGCAGTTCACTTTGAGGTTTGAGCTAAACTTACTACTGTCTGATCAGATGTACTCACATCACCATCTTGAGACTTTGCATTTCTAAACCATTGTGGCATTGGGGGCTGAGCTGCTTCAGATTTGACTTCTGAAGATTTCTCAAGCTCCTTCGGTACAAGTTTCACTAGCTCTTGCTCGTAATTCTGCATGCAACTAGGGCAACAACTCATTCTTCGAGAAGGATCCAAGTTCTCAGAGAGACGCCTTGGTGGAGCAAGTGCCACAGTTGAAAACCCCTTCAGTGGTGATAAAGATTCAACTGAGCTACTGAGGATTCCATTGGTTCCAAGCCTACACATCCACAAATATGAAAGAGAGTTAATTATAACAAAGACATAGAAAGAAGAACTAAAACCTCAAAGAAATGGATCACTGGTGCGTGAGTTACAATTATTCTCTGGACAAAGAACTACAGAAAGAGAAATCCTTCAACTAATCTAAGTTTTTTTTCATTAAGCCAACAGATAAGGTTCTATTCATTAAGCTAGTAGCGATTCGGATGTCAGGATAAACCAAAACCTCCACAATGAGGAAACTTTGTGAACTGGCACAAAACCCAAATTGTAGATCAGAATATAGACTTTAACTTCACAAGGAATATTTTCCGAAAGTCCCCAGATATCAAAGAATCTACAAAACAGCAACTTGCGATGCCATCACGCATAGAAGATGTAACAACATCGCCAGTTTTCCACTAAACCCTCTGGCTAAAGCATAAGTTAAGCTAATGACAAAAAAGTAAAGTTCCAAAAATAGCAATAACAATATACATACCTAGGAAACACCCCTGGCAGAGTTGCTCTAGGAGTGATTGGTACTACCTGTAGATCCCAATCATTTTCCATTGAAGAATGATAGACTTGGCACCTCATATATGTCTCACAAGTAGCAGTCCCGATCAACCAAACCTTTCCAGCACCACTCCCCTCTCCAAACCTCCCCAAAAGCTTCCTCATCTCCGCCACAGCTGAACGCCCAACATCTGACACAATCGGCTGCTGCTGAACCCCACCAGAACCAGCAAAGCTCACTTGCTGCTCAACAAGCCATTTCAAATCCCCCAAATCAAGAATCACCCCACCACAATCCAAATTCCCTAACCGAGTTTCGATCAATATCCCTAATTCAACAATCTTCGCCGCTATATGTGCTTTATCTAAAAACTCGTTCTCTAAATGAATCACCTGAACATTATTTAACACCCCATCTCCTACTTCTTTGCTCTCTATTCTCTTCAACACCTCCTTCACTACCATCTCTGGCTCCGAATCACCTACCAAAACCGGATTCCTCTTCTTACTCTTCAACATAATATCAATAACCTTCTTAACCTCCTCATTTCTTTGTGCACCAGATTGACCGAAACTCCCTTGTTGCAATCTTGGGTTTACATATAAATTCCTATTAGTAACAGGAGCAGGAACAGCCACAGCTCCTGGAGCACGAAACCCCAATCCAATCCCAGAATTAGCAGCAGAATTCGAATTCGAAGAAGCATTCAAAGATTGCTCAATTGTTGCCTTAACAGCAGGACTGGAAAAACTAGCTTCCCTCATAACTCTACTAACACTTGGATCATCAAGAATTGATATAATCAACTGCTCAAGCTCAACTTTAACAGCTAAAAGTGGCTGTTGCTGCTGTTCAGGGCACCCTCTCCGCTGATGAGCCTGAGCACGCTTTAGTGCAGCCATTAAAGCATTGGAGATTGGTGGGTCAAGGCCAGGACTAAGGTTTTGTGCAGTAGGGAGGCGTTCAAGGGCAACACTAAAACAGAGCTCAAGAGCTCTGCACTGCAGAGGATGTGAAGAATTAGGGTGCGATTTGATGCATGCTTGACGGAGGAAACCAGATGAGGAAGCTAACAGTGTTGCCGCCACATGAAGTGGTGTTGTCTGGCCATGGTTACGGCGGCTTGCTTCGCCTATTGATTGGTTTAGTACACTCGCCGCCTCTGGTGTCAGAGTTTGCTGGATCGTGCTAAGTCCAGCTCTCATTTCTTGAACACAAAAAACAAGTCTTTATCAATTTCTTCCCTCTATTGAAATGAATTCAAGAAAGAATAAAGAAGCTTTCTTGTTTGGTTTTCAGGAGGGGGGATGTAATAGTTAAGACAAGAAGGGTGGTTTGGTTTGGTTTGGTTTGGTTTTGTCTCAAAATGGACAAATTGGCTATTTTTCAGGTGGAGAAGGGAGATGAGGAAATTACCAAACAACAAAAGAAAGAAAAGAAAGGTCTCACTCCTTTTATTTTATCTTATTTTATTTTCTTGAAAAAAAAAATTGAAGAAAGGAAAGGATACCTCTTTCTCCTTCTTCTTCTACTTATCTTATGGGAAGAAGCGAGCCTATTCTTTCTAGCTATCAGTCTATTCTTTTCTCGCATTGCTTGGCTTCTCTTGCTTGCTTGGTTTCTCTTTTATTCGGTTTTTTTTTCCTTTGTTTGTTTGTTATCACTTTTTCACACATAAAAAGCTCTGTGAGAGAATTCAACGCGAAAAAGAAAGATCAGATCCTCTTCCCTCACAAGAACCATCGATCCCTCTTTCTCTTACTTATTTACTCCCTTAACTTTTTTCTATCTCTATCCATTTGATCATCATCATATTAAATAACTAAAAGAGCAATCTTAGTTTTATTATTTTTCTTTTAAAATTTATCTATCAAAAACTATCAATTAGTAAATTTATAAGAGTTAAATAACCAAATCTATTTATCGAATGCATAAAATATCCATTTAATAGTTAATACTTTTCATTATATAAATTCAATAAATTAATGATGTAAAAATAACATTACTCTAATGAAAATATCCCATCTAAAATATACCAAGCAATGTTAAAAGATGGAATATATATATCTGAAACTTATAATTATAATGCCAAATATATCAAATATGATTGGTTTAAACGAAAGAAAATCTAGTTATTTAAATAAATAATTTCGAATTTGAATACATATGTAAATAAAAAAAATTAAATAGTTGTTTCTGTTTTGTATGTTCTATAAAATAACTAGGATTAGTTTAAGCTTTTAAAATTAAGATATCTTGAATATAAAAATAAAAATAATAATAAACATAATGTTAAATTCATCAATCAAATTATTATTCTCATAATTTTTTATATATAATTATCAATACATTTTTACATTAATTATCAATAACTATTATATAATAAATATTAATGAAGGATGTATTGATAAATTTTAAAAAAATTATAAAAATTAAATTTTGATTGATAAATTTAGCGCTAATAATAATAATGGGATCTCTAGCTAGGAATATATTTAAATAATAGAACAATAAATAAACGAAGAATAGCCACCGAGGAATGCTGTAGGACTGTGGTGCGGTAGTGAATTAGTTATAGATAGGGGAGACAGATGCCTGAATTTTTGTTGTTTTTATTAAGTAAAATAGAGAGAGAGAGAGAGAGAGAGAGAGGGGTAGGGATCATGTACTATCAGTTGCAAAGATTTCTGAAAAATGCTTTCTGGGCTGCCCCTACTTTTTAGTGCTTGTGTCATCTTTTGTTACTTACTTTTTTCATTTCTTTTATTATACTAATTACTAACTACAATTTTTTTTATTTCTAATTTATCTTTATGGATTTCTTTTTCTTTTTTTTATATTTATATATATTTAGACCTCGAATCTCCTATGTCTAACTTTTTAATTATTTTAACCCCTCTTGTCCTTACACCTTAGAGAGATAATGGAGTGAAGGAGACACCTTTTTTGGCTAGAGAGAGAGAGAGAGAGAGATGATGATGAGTAAGAGATTCATTAGCAATCTTAGATTAGAGTACTAAACTTTACTTTTTATCACCCTAATTTTTTTCCTTGTTTATCTCTCTATGACTATAGATTGACTGCCTTTTTTAATCTCTATTTTGTTTCTTATATATCAGACTGAATCATGGGACTGAACATCATCTCACACTATCCTACAGCGCGTTTCTACACGCTCCATTGACTGATCTCTCAACGGGGGGGTTGAATCTGAAGTGAGTGTTTCTCACGCACATTGAAGTGGTGTGAAATCAGAGGTGAAAAGCTCTCTAAACTTTCTATCTTTATTTGCCTTTCAACCAATTTTATGCTTTTCACACGCAACCGCTGCAAAGGCATCGCACGGTTTCCACCTTTTCATACTTGCAAAAGTCTTCTGCATCCACTTAACTTTTAACCACGTCTCCCTCTCTCTTTCAATCACATTTTTTGGCACAATTTCGTCCAGATTTACGTATTTGGGCACACCCATGATTTATTGGCTAAAATGTCTAAATAAATAAATAATGAAATTATACCAAAATACCATCCAAAATACTACGCTATGTTTTGGTTCTGGTTGCTTGGGGAGGGGGAGGGCAGTACAGATGACCTTTTATTATGAAAAGTGAAAACATGGCTTCATTTAACCTTTGTCCTCAATGATGGTAATTATTACAGGCTTCAAAATTCGTGTCCTTTAAGCAAAACCACAGGATGAGAATATGTTGACTATGATAAATTTTTCCTCGGTGAAAAGGTCATCTAATGATCCATTATTTCTAATTTTTTACAACGAAATGATTTCCTTAAGCTAAGCATAAACGAGGGATATATTATAAATTTTGTACTTTCAAGAGATGGTGGAGTAATAAGTGATTTTGGATTCCAGCACCCTTGTAAAACCCCTTTTTTTTTTTTTTTTTGGTGTAGATTCAAGTTCAATTATTTAACAAGGTTGGCAAAATAATGAAGGGAAAAAAAAAAAAAACAGCCCTATTTGTCTTTATTTGGTTTGAAAGGAAATGGATCATTAAATGCTTTAGAAATGGCATAAACCTCCCACCAATTACAGGTGCAACTACCTTGTAAAAATCGCCATTCAATTGGTTTGTTGAGGTTCCACTTGGACCGTCCTTGTCTGAGATCGGGGTCAACATGGAGATGACGAATTCTGCATTTCAATGGCATTTAAGATTAATGATGCTCATCCTCTCAAAAAAAAAAAAAAAAAAATCGAAAACTAAAAATCTTCTGCTCAATGAAATACTAAGAAATATGTATTCAATCCTTAAAAAAATATATATATATGTATACACGTATTGAAACAGCCCAGCAACTTGGACTGTTTTGGAGGAATTAAAAGACAAAAATATCATATACAGAAGAAGCCAAAAAACAAGTTAAATAGTTTTTTTTTTTTAAGAAAAGTTAATAGTTATTCTATTAATGTAATTAGAATTAATAATTGATAATTGATATGTTGTTTACGTACGTCCTAACAAAACCGTGTTTTCATTACACAAATGGTAATGAATGTAGTACACGAACAATCTTAAACAATGAAATGGCGCTACCAATTGTTCTGGATGCTCGTGACATGCTTGTGATCTTACCTTTCTTCGCAAGGAGTCTATGCCACAAGGATATAATGTACACTACAGTAGTGCATGCATTTAGAAAGGCTTTATATAAAGATAAAACACATGCACCTATCACTTAAATAATCAAGCTAACCTGCTCAGCCATCCGAGTAACCTTTAAAATTAAGCTTATTATTTTTTTTTAAAAAAAAGAAAGCCTGGACGATGATTCATTATCGCCATTATTATTAATTTATTATTATTACTACAGTATAAACGTGAAACAGAAGAATAGTGACATAAAAGAAAGAGGGAACATTCGAAAAAATGTTACTATTACTACTGCTTAAATAAAGAGTTAAATTCAATTGTTCAAAAAAAAGAAGAGTTAAATTCAACTTTTGGGGATTCCTAACTTTACAAAACCAATCTTGTGCTTTCGTTATGTTATTCCTACTTTTTGTTTTGTGACGAGGGGAAAGGAGAGAAGTCTTCAGAAACAAAAATCATCATCATCATCATATTCCCCTTTTCATAACGCACGCCCTCCTTCCCTTGCCTTTTACGCGTTTTTCGAGCTCATCACCACCCCACCCCCACCCCCACCTCACCTCCTCCTTCTCCTCTACGACCACAACTACTACTAACCTTTTACCTTTTTACGAACCTCCTTTTTTCCATCACCCGCCTTCGCCTTACGCGCTTCTACCTATTGACTCGTGTGTCAGCTATGCTTCTCGAATCCTCAATCCATTCTCTATTATATAATTCCCTTCCTTTTCTACTCCAAACCCGATCTTTATCATTAGTTTTGCAATATCTTCTCCCTTCTATTGTGTTTGCAGGGTTAATTACAAGCCACATTCCTATTCTATTACGCTTCGTTTAATGGAGTCCCTTGACTACTAATTTGATAAACTGACTCTCTTTACATTTTATCCTGTTTGTAATCAAGACCCTTCATTTAAGACGTTGTTAATAGTAAATTGCGACTTCAGCCGATGCAAGACATGTGCTTGTGTTAACTCAACTTCACCTAACTTCCGTTTGTAAAAGAAAAAAAATACATGAAAATGTAAATGGATTTATTAAATATTTAAAAGATTTTCAAAAAGATGAAGTGACCATAAAGTGTTATTAAAATGAATCGACAAGTTATTGATTCAAGTAATAAACGAATTGATCTCTAAATAAATTTTTTATCAATATGCAATATTTGAATCTTAAAATCGTAATTGTTAAAAGAAGTTAAACCTCATTCTTTTCATATCGAATAAGATTAGTTATATCTCCAATATAAAATAAGAATATCTAAAAAAATGTTATTAAAATAGCTTAGTTTATCCTAATATAATGGACCAATGTCTAATCTATTTTTATATTTTAAAATGAGTTAATTATATCTCTTGCATTGTAAGTGAGTTTTCAATCTTTTTCTAATGATTTTTTTTCTTTTTGATAAAGTCATAAGATAATATCATCCTTTTTTTGTACATAACTACTTTTATTTTGAAAAATGTACCTAAGATATTCACATGGATTGCATGTAACGGGGTTTGATGTGATTTTTAGGTAAAAAGTTGCCAGCTGGTGTTAGGCTTTGAATTTTGATGATTAAAGAGTTTTTGAGGTGATGAGTGGCC